ACTTAGAATGGTTGCAATGTCCCAAAATTTCTGAATTGTCAACGTCTTCCTCCATGTCTTGTGGACGTCATAAAAGTTTTCACTGTTAAAGCTTTTCAAACATGGTTCTTTTATAATATTACAAATTGGCATATGGTCAGTGTTCAACTACCCCTGCTTTGATATAAATCCTAAAGAACCCAAAATCGGCATGTTTCGAAAAGAAACTACCTCCAATTTAATTCAATTCAAAGATGAAACTCGACAATGCAAGTGCAACCAATAGCGTCAATACAGGGTTCCTAATGATCAAAGGAGTGATTATGGAATTTCTTGACCATATCGAAGAAAAAGCATTTCAGCCTTTCCAAAAAAGGACCCTCCAGGACAAAATGGAAAAGCCAGAGTTTCTATCCAAAAAGAGTCATCTTTATGTAATCACCTTCAGGCAGGCGTGTCTTATCTCAATATCATTAAAGATGAATTCAATCGAATGCACAAAGATTACATTAAAAGAGCCTCAAGAACACCAGAAAAAAGCTGAATTGAAGAATTTTCTGAGTATTATTTTTTGGTAAGTTTTTAACTGTTGGATGTGACTTTTAGTTTCATGTTTTGCCCTTGTCTGTCCTTCGTTACAATCCAATGGGAATTACATGCGCTTGTCTCATGACTCTCGAGCGTATACTCGCTATCTATATACGGTGTTTGACCGTGACCACCTCTTTAGTGTGTTGTGAATATATTTTTTATAGTTCTTCTTCTAAGCACCTTTGAAGAATCTTCCTAAGTTAAAAATGACCTTCCATAGTGAATCTCAAGCTCAAGACATGATCAAAGAGCAGCGTCAATGGGAAGATGCTCAAAAATAATCAGAAGACCATTAGCGAGGTTGACACTTCTTCTCAAGATTCAGTCAAAAGTCAACCCAAGGTGATGATTGCCACTATAGATTTGTTCTAAAATGGTACTCAGAAAACTTTTACTGTGGCAGAAGATCTCCAAGCTACAGTAATCAAGACTTCATTAGATGGACAAGGGAAACAAATCTCCAAAGAGAAAGCATGAGACATTGTCCGTTGATCATGATCCATATCATAGGAGCAAGAGGATAATGATGATGTTGTTGAAATGCCTAATCACCATTTTCACGTTGTCTCATTGGGCAAATCCCGCAGGTCTCATATGAAACCGGTGGGCACTGTCCATGCTGGAAGGTCTTCCCTACGTTATCTGAATTAAACCAATGGGTGGTTAATCTTTTGCTCCATTTGAACCAATAAGAAGAGACTAGACATCGAAATCCGTCATAGCGTTGAACTTCAAACCTTTCAACTTTTTGTAAGCTTACTTTTTTATGCCTTTTTCCACAATAATGGCGGAGCGGACTTTGCGTCGTACTAGAACTTCAGCAGAGAACAGGTGGAGGTGTTGGAAAGATATTACAGGCAAGGAATGGTGGGAAAGGCCTCGGTTTATACCAAGATGATCGAAGAAGCAGCGAAAGAGACCGGCCTTTCAGTGGAGCAAGTGAAGGTATAAATAAATTAATTAATTAAATACACCCTGTACACGCATATCACAGCCATTCTAAAGCAACTAGACAAGCACCAGCACCTACACATAAGTTGTGACGACCTCATAGAGATGCGACGAGCCAGATTGAGGAGTGGCAATAACAGTCAAAAGATTGTGCAAGTACTTTCCAATTTGTTTGTTAACGATGATGAATCTCTATTGCGCTGCAATCCTTATCGAGATTCGTACAAAGACGTAGTTGTGGGATGTTTTTTTACTACGTTATAATATCCTTTATTCACTTCCCACTGAGACCTCAAATGTGTGGGCTCAGTGTTATATGGAATTTATTAAATGTAGGCAGGAAGAAAGTAAACTTTGCACACTCAAAGTTTATCAAAAGTTTATCAAAATTTCAAGACTAAATACGTTTTTGATAAAAGTTAATAAATGTTTTTGTAAACAGGACGTCTTTTGACAATATATCAAATCACACCACCATTCGTAATCTTTTGCAAAATCTAGATTTATAATGTGAAACCATAACTTTCCAAGATGTACATAGATAATAAACGCACCACTCTTCCGTTCGAATMTTTCAGAGGGTGTATGGCGAGAAAACGAACGATAAAATCAGCCAACAAATATGACAATTTTTTGTCGTCTCTCTTAGTCTTGACTTGCCAAAATGTGTGGTTAAAATTGTCTATTAAGTGTTGCATCATAATTTCAATCTTGTTGGGTGGCCTACTGATTTTTTTAGTTCCCTTATATTTAACAACCCTTATGTAGCTATAACCCATTTTTATGTAGTGGCGTGTTGCTGGCTCTAAATGCCTCGTAAAATTGCAAGTCTGATGAACCTTTAGGTTTTTTCTTCTTCCTTCACTTTCACGCTATTCTTTAATCCGTATTTTTTACTTACTACGCTGTTTCTGTATTCCAGTTTATATCACGCCTTTTGATATCAAAATGCGAATCATAGAAAGCAAAAATTCTTCAGTTTTCCAAAACGTGTTTTTTTTTGCTCTCACATAAAAGTAATTGGCTCAAACTGTTGCGGTGTCACTGCCCCTAATATCATTTTGTATTTGTTGTAATTGTATCTTTTGTTCATTTTGCTGTTGTTGTTTATGTAATTTGGGCAAAGATTACAAAATAAAAAATAAAAATAAAAATAAAATAAACTAATTAAGCAAAATTTACCTGATAGCCATCATAAATCATGGATATAATAAAGCTTTTTAGCAGTAACTGAGATGATCGGTGTGAGACACCAGGTTCTGATATAGCTGAGGGAGATCAATTGAACTGAGATAAGAACTGCTGTGTAATAAAGCCACCTACTGAAGACGAGGCATGACACACCAAGAGAAACTATTTTACTTTGCCAGAACAGCGCATTGAGTGATCGAGCGAATAAAGGTTGATT